TTAAAAAGATATACTCAATTTGGGGGGTTAATCTACCGGATAAATCATATAAGAACTCATCTCCTTGACAAAGCATCATTAATGGCTATTATGACAAGTTGAAGGATTGGAAACTATATTTAAGGTTGAATCTCAAAACCCTACCCCCATATCTCAATTAAAAAAAATTAGTAGTAGAAATTAATTAGCAAGAGAAGAAGAATTTCATAGCTACCTTTGCATAAAAGTTTAAATTTGCAAAATTTTCGAAGAAATGAAGCTCCAAAAATATGTGCAGCATCCGTCATTACAATATCACTTTTCTTTGCTTCAACTTATGGCCCTCTATCATATCTGTATAGGCCTCTGTATCTATATGGAAAAATAGCCAAAAGTACTCCTAATATATTGGAAAATATTTAAAATACCTTGTTTATTTTTTGATTAAAAAACACTCTTTCTAGTTCTTACCACCGGTCTAAGAACACCCTCAATCCAAATTTAATTGAATTATTTTACTAACTAATTAATTTTTTTATTTATTCAAATTTCTTAATATTAGCTCATCCCAAAATATTTAAAATAAAAAATAAATTTATTATGTTGTGAAAAAATTTTAGTGACGAGGAATAAAGGAAAAAAGACAAAATTTGACTAATTATATACGTAGTTAATATTTAAGATTTTAAATATGATTAATGACCGTAAGCAATAAGAAGAAAAATCTCACGATTTCGTGATAGGTATTCTTATTTGAGATCATTGATTGTAAATAGGGGGGAAAAGATTTTCTTATATTTTATTGTTATTGTTATTTTCAATCAGTGACCACCTCGGTAGGTTGGGAGATTTTAAAAAATGGAAACTATAATTAGATACATAATTAGGGCATGTTTGGCCATAGATATGAAATCATGATATGGTATTATCATATGGAATTATAAGTGGATATGTAATATAGAATTTTTGTGTTGTATATTTTCTCATAAACATATAAATCCTATAAGTTGTACAATCTTACTAAATATCCTCAATTATTTATACAATCTTACCAAATAAATAAAATATGTAAAATCACAAAATTATTAAAAAGTTGTTTACTCCTCATTTATAAAATTGAATAATAGTCTCTTCTGGCTTTTGCAATGGTGATTTGATCACCATAAAATTTGTTGTATTTGAGGTCAGTCTCAGCCTCCCTCTGTATCTTTTTGCTTAATACAACACCGCCCAGAAATAAGATTGGGTAAAAAAATATTTTTAATTTTAAATACAATTAGACTTAATTATTTTTAATATTTTTAGATGAGCTAATATTTAATATTGAGAATTTGAATAAATAAAAATATATTTTCAAAACAAATAAAAGAATCAACTAATCAGTAAAAGAGTTCAATTCAATTTTGGTTTGAGACTATTTTCAGACCAAAAGGTGAAAAGGGTGTATCTTTGAATCAAAACCCCTCCATCCAATTTATTTTTTCATGTTGCGTTTTTCGATAGTCAATTTGATTAATTTTCAAAATAAATTAGATCATTTTAATTTGATATTTTAAACAAAAAACTTAGGTATTAAAAAATTATATGAAAGTATTATAAACTGCAATTTTTCGCATATCAACATGATGAAAAAATACATCTTAAAATGTTAGTCAATATAGTTTGACTCTAAAAACAGAAATCATAACAAACACTAGTGGACGGATGGAGTACTTAATTACACTAACATGTCTATGAAAGTCATAAGTACCCAGTGTTTTAAAAGGCGTGGTGGCGTGAGGCGAGACATGAGACATTTTACTCGGTATGGGGAGAGGCATAAGCCCGAGACACGAGGCATAAGTTCCATATATCTACGGGACGTAGTCTCATGTATATTCAATCTTATAGTTTTATTACTAATAAAATAAACGAAAGTAACCTTTCAATGATCTTACAAATAAATTTTTATAAATAACCTCCAATATATAGAAATTATATTTATTTGAGATAAGTATTAATAATCAATAATGAAGAAAAAAATATTATAATTTTTGTTTGAGAAATATCATTATGCCTGTACTAAAAAATATGACTTGAGTTAAAAAAAGGTTTTAAAAAATTTAAAACGTATGGGCCTACATTTTTACGCTCAAAGGTCAGTCTTTTATGTTCAAAGCTTGCGCCTCAAATTTTAGAACTTACGCCTTATGCATCTACGTCTTTAATTTACGCCCCGAAACGTTTTTTATATACCCCACCCGAGACTCACCCTGAAACTCGCCCCAAAAACGTTTTTATAAACACTGAGTACCCCTACTCTATGGAAAAGGCTTTATAATCCATAAATAGTCTTCTTCCATCTTTAGGTCAAAAAATATCCTTTAGATTTATTTTTTAGTCCAAATTAGTGATGTTTTTGTTCTTTGCCCTATAATAATATTGTAAAGCCTAATTTATGGATTATAGATACAACTTTTACTCCTATGGATACGGGTGTGTTTTTGGGGGTTTAGATAAACACCTATTCAATTTTAAAAATCGAACCAAATTAATTATATTCGGATTTTATTTTATTTGATTTTACATCTTTAAAAACTGATAATATGTGGTTTAATTTGACTTGATTTTCATTTTTAAAAATTGATAATATTTGATTTGATATTGCTTTAATCCTAAAAAAAAAAGTTAAAGAAATAACCTAATCAAACCAACAAATTTATACATAATTTTATACCTATAAATACACAATACATCATTTTTTTTACAAGTAGTTTTAAACATCTTATATACATTTTCATTAAAATTGATTTATAATTTAATATCGGAGGAATACGAAAAACCGGCCGATCCTAACTGATTCGTGTCAATTTCAATAAAACTGTGGACTTTTATATAAAAATATAATTATCCCAACAATTGGAATGGTCTTTATTTTCATGTATGATTAACAATCAAAAAACTTCACTAAAATCTAGAGGTGCCAAAAGAATATGAAAAATCGACTGCACCTAATCGAATCAAGTTGAATCGATTTATGCTATTTTTTAAAAATAAAATCCTGAACTTTTATATAAGTGTACACATGTCCTGAAAAATTGGGGTGATTTTTTTAATTATGAAAAAAACCAAAAAAAAAATTGAACCAAACCAAACAGCCTTACATGTCTGTAAATATATTTTTTGCATATTAACAATATTTAAACATAATGTATAAATATATTTTATATCAATTGCGAATATAAATAGGACAACTTTCACATATAGCAAACAAAAAATTCATATTTGTATGTTATAGCAAACTTTGCATAACTGCGCTCCATAGCAAACATAAAACTGTATAATTTGCTATACATATACAATTGTATGATTCGCTGGCCTAAATTGTATAATTCGTTGGCCTAAACTGTATAATTCGCTAGTCTATTTCGCTGCAATTGTATAATTTGTTTTGCATACTGTTGAATCGAATTAAAATGTATGTATATTGCATAATTATAAGTCTATAGCAAGAAGATATATGTTTTTTCTCGCTTTATACAAAAACAGAAACACAATATATACACTTCTGTTGTATAAAGCTAGAGAAAATTGTATTTCACTGCAATTGTATAATTCACAATTGTATAATTCGTTGGCCTTTTTCTCTGCAATATTTGAAGTAAAATGTTTGTAAATTGTATATTTAAGTGTATAACACGAAGATATACATTTTTGCATGTGTATATACAATTTTCTCTCGCTTTATACAAAACAGAAATAGAATTATACACTTCTGTGTATAAAGAGAGAGAGGCGAGCGAGAATGGAGAGTGACGAGCGAAATTTTTGGGAGAGAGACGCTGACAAATTTTAGCTAATGTTTGTTATGGAGCACTATTAAATCAAACCCTAGCTATTCCATTTAATTTAGGTTATTAGTTTGCTATTATATACAATTTTTCCACATAAATATAACTTAGGTCATAGACCTCTAGCTACTAACGACTTTGGGCTTTTTTTCTTAATTAGGCTTAAAATTAAAAGATGAGTACTATAATAAATACTCTATCAAAAAAGACAACAAAACATATCCAAACAATTATTAAATATTTGTGAAAAGAAATATATTAATAGTTGGTGAACAAAATTACTCTTATTACGGTTTACATTTTTATCTCTTTGGTGAACAATTATACTGCTTCTTCAAGAACATATTTATGAAAGAAACATATTAATAGTTGTATATTCTAAGATTAATATTTTTTTTAAAAAAATAACCAAACCATGCCAAAGAATAATCAATATGATTAGATGATCTTACAGTCTATTTTTTATTATATACTACAAAAAATTAACCTAGTGAGCGATACAACACACCTACTACAATCGATAACAATGACTATATGCCATTTGACTTGGTGTTAATAATTTTAAATATGTTAAATTGATTTGATTTTGATTAATAACCAATGGTTGGATTGTAGTTTTCTCACAAAAAATAGCAAAATAAGTAAACATTCAAATTGGTTTTCTTTTTATACCATCTTAATTCAAGAGACCCTCTCTATACGTCTCTTCCGTAAATCCTCTTACGATAATTTTTCGTCAAGTGTTCTCTGACAAACAACAATTCATATTGTTCCCTTCTTTAAAAAAAAATAAATTTTGGTAATTGTGTAAAAATATAGTGACATTAATTTTTTCCAAGCTCATTATGAGACCTTATTGTTGAAAAACAGTGAGTATTCTCACTTCAATCTATTGAGTTGTGAATCGTCAACAACTCAGCAATGGAAATACCAATATTTCTTCTCATATACACACCTTTCAATTTTTCCAACACGCATAAACACAAGTAAGAACTGAAAATAATGCAGCTCAAACTGCTAGGCTGCACTTTGTTATCGAGATGTGCCATAACGAAAACCAACTACAAGTAAACATGTCGGGTGCTGTTTACCACAAAATAAATGAACATAAAAAGAGTAGTTTCATATTAAAGCAAGGAAGAATAGAGCAAGCAATGGTCACTTGAGCAAAAAAATATGGACATGCATCAATATAGAGCAGATTTAAACTGCATAACATTACACACCAAGTAAAAGACAGAAAGAGACCACTTCCATGTCATGGTCTACCTATCAATTCTTTGAACAAAGATCACTTCTTACTTTTTGTATAAACATGAAAACATCAAATCAAATAACAATCACTAGTTGAATCAACAAAATGCCTCAGTCCACGATGCTCCCTAAAGTCTCATACATACTTCATGGGATAAATAGTCCACAGGACATGGGGCAGACTCCTAGAATGAGAGGACATGCGGCAGACTCCTAGAACGAGATGACATGGGGCAGACTCCCGGAACGAGATCGAAACTACTTTAGGGGTCAGTACAAACTTCTTACTAAGAATAGAGATCTCTACCCAATTCCTTAAAAGGATTATCCCGCTAGAAGATTCATTATGACCATCGGCAGACCGCATACCACGATTTCAAGCCAGAGCTCTTCCCTGACACTTCTTCTAATTGCTAACCCTAGAGACCAAAAGGTCAACAAGAACCAAAACCAATTAAGCTTCAATAAAAGATTAGAATTGATCCCTACCAGTGAAATGGGCAGGAGATGTTCTAGCAGGACATCATCTCCCTGGAAGCCTCAACATCAATATCACCATACAAATAACTAGAGTTTTAAGAGCTCTCCTCTTTTTCTATGGTGAACCTAGATATCTTCAGTTCGACAATGACCAAAAAATACGGAGTTGAATTGAATATCCTGTCAAACTCCATAACAGAAAAGTTCGTTCCAAGTACTCAATCTATCATCAAAATAGAGAATCTTAGAAAGGGCTATTCTTATCATAAAACAGAAGCACTAATTATGTCCAAATCAACATATTTAAGAGATTAGAAAGGACTGAGAGCAAAAGGGAAGAGGGAGAGTGTAGAAGCCAATCAATCTGACATTAAGGAGTAGAATGCAGGTGGTGAGAGTACATTGGTATGATACAACGAAGTAGATATTTGAAATTGTATGAACTGCCATGGTGTTAAATTCAGGAGTCCTCCATGAAACATAGGAAAAGAGTGACAGTATACTGATGAACATCAAGGATGACAGAACCAGTTTGGACTGGTCTGTTAGATGTATAACATTGTTTATAGAACTTGTGTCTGGCAGTTCTTTAACAATGTTTATACTTCTACCAAGAACATTGATGGAAACATAAGGAGCAGAATAAGGATCTACAAAAGATATTTTTACATATGTATTCACCTAGAGAAACATAGAATAGAAAAGAGGTCCACAAATGTACCAGAAATGATTTGTTCGTATTCTGAACAGGAAGAGACAACAAGTTGGCTAGAAAATATTAGAAATGATCACAGCATACAAAGGTGTATAAAGAAGCAACATATGGATTATTATAAAGGACACCTAAGATAATTTTTCCATATCCCTAGGGATAGCAATGGGCGGGGCGGACGTGGCCAGGGCGGGTTTAAGGCTATGAGGGGGAAGGTTGAAGTGATTTTTATAAGAGTGATAGAGCATTATCTATTAAGATAGTTTCTTTAAAGTTGCTAAAATATTCAAGATAGTATGTAAAAATGGTTCAATCAAAACTAAAACAATTTCTTGCATGTCTTGCCGATTGACCTCTAAAAAATAAAACTTCTAGTCGTTATCTATTAAATCAATACAACTTAATTATAAAATGAATATATTTTTATGAATTTTATTTTTAGTATCAAACTTAACTAGTAAAGAAAATATTTAAAAAAATATGTGGGGCGGGGGTGTAAGCGGGGCGGGTTGAAAATGAAAAAAATGTTATGCGGGGCAAAGCAGGGCGGATTAAATTTTTTGCAGGTGGAGCTCCGCCCCTACCCCACACCATCCCATTGCCATCCCTACATATCTCACATGAGCACATAATTAAGTGTACATTATGGTGGTTGGAGCTAAACGGAGAAATGTAGCTTAAACCGTACATTAGGTCCGGTGTTAACCAAGAGTCTTTCAAATATGATTAGAGATATCTTACCAGTGAAACATAAGTGTGAGATTTAAAGAAACTCTAAAATGCTGAGGAACACCAAATTTTTTCTAGAACAGAAGGCACGAATAGAGCGGAGGGGAACAAGATTCAATTAGCTAACACTTGCTAAGAATAATTGGTGGACTGTCGATAGATTGGAAATAATAAACAAGCAAGTTGCTAAACAGCTCATGTCTTATACTAAGACTCAATGACCTTCACCAAGAAAAGATGAGATAACAAAGCATAAACAAGTGAAAAGATGTGCAGAAGTGTCTTTCCCCTTCCAGAGAGAACCTTTTGATGAAGGATTTAGATGGAAAAAGTCCAAACACTTGGGAATTAATTTCTCTAAGAGATTATCTTGCTAGTACTAAGATATTTTAAGATGTAATTAAATAAAACACAAAGAGGTGGCAGATCAATATCATGCGCATACAATAGTCACAAGGCAATCAATGAGTAAATTGAACAAATTGTTTGCCTTTTTTGCTTATAATTCTCTGTTCCTAAATTTAATTTCAGTTCTACTCTTCTGAATCAAAGAACTAAAAGGCTGTCAGACTGAAATAGATTTGTCTTCCCTTTTCTTTTTTAGTAAAGTGAATAGATGAAGTGAAAGATTCCAAAAATAGATAGAAGATAGCTAAAGGTGAAAGGGACCGCAGCAAATTAGATAGAAACATATACTCAATGAGAGATCTTGGAAGCAATTGGCACCGGAAACTGCAGAACTATGATTATATGGAACAGTAAATGCTTTAGCCCAAGTTAAGCACCAGATATTTTCCTTCTTTAGAGGATCTTGAGAATTTGGAGACGCTCACTGGTTATTAGGATATATCTTGTAGTGCTAATGCACACAGCAGAGAACTTATACAAACTCACAGAATGAGCACATGAACCAAAGGTCATATCAGCAACACCTGATCTTACTGAAGAAGCTAAGAGCAAAGAGGAATCAGCAACAAGATACTGAAATCCGTGTAACATGAGCTTGACAGCTGATAATAGATAAAGTTCCGTATAAAGTAAACAGAGCATGGGAAAGTAGGAGAAAGTTGGAAGCGGTATTCATCAAATGATAAGAACTGATGACAGACTAACAAAGGAAAGATAATGTCCTACGAAGTTCTAACCAGAGCAGATGAAAAGAGCCTATCAGGCAACATGGCTGAACCTATATAGGCAGAAAACAGAACAAATGGTCCAACTACATGAATTTTACTTGCAAACGTTCCTACAGAGAAGAAATTTATCAAACCTACGCAAATGACACTCTCCAGCACGAGAACCTACCATATTCTAGAGAGGAACTTCGGAAGAAGGAACCTCGATATTTAGTCAAGGTCGCACCTTCAGAAAGGAGATGTGTCTTTATTGCTCATGTCGCCATTATGAATGCCTGAATTAAGTTCTCAGCAGCACGCTTCTGTTCCTGCGTACCAGATATTATAGCAATCTGATCACCTCTAGAGGATTTGGAATCAATTATATCCACAGCTGCTCCAGATATCTACAAGAGGAACAATGAGTTTAAGAAAGTAACCAACCATCATATCAAAGTACTAGCAAGATACCAGAACTGCACTGCAAGTAATACCTACGGCTTCAAGATTAAAGCAACAAGTATCTAATATTCATTCAGTATGAAGGTATTCATGCATACTGACATGCACAGAGGTGGTATTCATGCATAGTGGCATGCACACCCACACACAAAAAAATAATCATTTTGTTGTCTATTCTTTAGGTTGAGTGGGCGGCGCATAAGTTGGCAAGGCAGAAGTGTCAGTGGCTACACCAGCAACAGCAATAACATACCCAGTGCAACCCCACAAGAGGTGTCTAGGGAGAGTGGTGTGGACACAGCCTTATTCCTACCTCTGTGAAGGTAAAGACTGCTTCCTATGGACCTTCGACTCAATTCCAGCATATCAAAATCAGTAAGAAAAGGAAATACAATAGTGAAGAAACCATACAGAAAATAATGAAGAAACAACACCAGCCCCGACCAAAAGTCCAAAATATAAACGCCACAAAAGGAGCAGTAGATATGCAGGGTGAGGTAAGTGTTTGAAACTCAAAGCCCGTATCATTTAAACAACCGTGTAAATTAGACCACCAAAGGAAGATAAGCAATAGACATAAAAAATCAAGTTCTAAACAGGCTCAAGTAACTACTGACCTTGCGAATATTATCTATGTTTGAGCCACCTTTACCCATAACTTTACCGACTGCATGTCCTGGGATAACCATCTCTACAGCTGAGGGTGGAGGCAATCTGCTTAAAGGCATGACACAGCTCAGAAAAAATCAAGAGAGAAAATACAAGTTACTTCACCAGCATAAAGTACTTACCCGCCATATAACTTTGAGGAATATGAAGAGAACGTTCCATAGGTATCTTCCCCTATCTTCCAACAGAAAAATAGTGAAAGTAAACATCCAGGAACAGTGAAATTAAAGAACAGACGATGAACAATAGCATTCAGCAAGAAGCAGAACCCATGGCACCGCAAAGCCAAAAAAGATTTAGAAATAAGACTCAACGACTTAACAACTAGTAAATCCATGAAGATTGCAAGATAAACATCAACAGTAATTGGAATGTTTCATGTTGACTTCATCATATTCATATAACATCCTTATTAAGAGATTTAACATTTCCATTAGTTAGACCAATTCATATGAAGGGAGAAGAAAGATTGGTCACCAGAATGACATTTGTGTAACTTCTCCATAGCTACCTAAATATATAGTAATTAATAGTAAAAGAGGGAGAAAAGGTAGCATGTTTTCCAGACAATTGGTTACTCTCGATCTCTCCTTTGCTTTGCCAAAGCGAGATAACTGTACTCTGCATATCTTCACCAAGTAAAACAGTCACCAGTACCAAATGCTTCATTTCTTGAATCACCTTATAACAGCTATTTCAGGCAATTTATAATTTAAAAAATGGAGGAAAAAAATAATTGACATTAGATGTAGTTTTCCAATGCTGCAATTTTGATTAAAATTTGAGTTTGAAATGCCCAGATACACAACAGCATGGACATAGATCTTTGTGCCATGCAGGGAAAGCAGAAGTATACCGAGAGCGACTCATGACCATATCGGCTGCCTGAAGAACGCATTCCAACACCATTCCCAGTTTCAATCCTATGTTCAAAGCTCAAAGGAGCAGCTGGAGGAACGTTGGGCAACACTGGAGCCAATGAGAAACCAGTAGCACCAGCGCGTAAAGCTGCAGATGGATTATGATTACCTTCTTGGCCTTTTATAACATCATCTCTGAGCCTCAGTACAATCTGGATAAGGGCGTCCCTCACACTACTAACTTCTCCAGACACCTATGCATTTAAAATGATGGCTGAAGAAATATAAGGATAACCAACTAAAAGAAAGTTTAATTGATTAAAACTATTATGAAAGACAGACCTCAACAAGTTCATCATTTGAATCCGCACATTTGGGCCTCTCGCCTTTTGAGATACGTACATCAGCTCTAGTTCTCTTCCGGATTTCATTAATGATTGAACCACCTTTCCCAATGATACATCCAATAATCTTAGATGGAACAAGTAGACGAAAAGTTACAGTATCCTCATCTTCGTCATTTATTTTCCCTTGCAGCAGAAGTACAGCTTCAACTGCCATGGATTTAAGATCATCCACTGACTACAGAAAACCAAATGCTGAATATGGTAAATACATGGAATACAAGATAGTGGAGATGTATCAAACTACTTTATATAAAGTTGATTACAAAGTCAACATAAACAGCCAATTACTAATGTTTTTAGCATCAAATAAAGTGACATATATAGCACCCCAACCCCTTCCCCTCCCCTCCTCCCCCCCCCCAAAATCCTGAACAATCTAAGGTACAGATTTACCAAATGGAGCGGACTTCACAAACCTATCATATAAAGACCTCAAAGATCAAAAGCCGGTGAAAAAGCATAATCTTCTTTTACCTCCTAATAAGGATAAACAAAAAAAAAATGAAAAACTGTCACCAACGCTTACTGTGTAAAAGTTTGTTTCACAAATGATCTATGAGAAGGCAAAGTACACTTCCACAAAAAGAAAAGACAACTGCTAAAAGACCAAAATCTCACCAACTCGGGACTAAAGAATACTGGAGAGAAAGCAATACCTCAGTGGAAATGACTGTGATAATGCACTGATCACGATCAGCTTTGGCATCACAAACCTCGATACGAGCACCACTTGTTTGCCTTACACTTTTAATTGAAGCTCCTCCCTTGCCAATAACACGACCAATATTGTTAGTTGGACACAGCACTCTAATAGTCAATTCCTCAGTTTGAGAGGCACCACTGTAACCAGAAACCATGGGAAGACCAGAAGAATAAAGAGGCCATGTGCTTCCTGCATCCACATAACCCGGAAGCTCTGGTATTTGTGTGGTACCCAAAACAGATGGAACAGAACGAGATGGCATAATAGGATCCACATTTGGATAAATCCCAGCTCCTGGATATATGGGAACATCTGAAGGGATAATAATACTTGGACGTACTTCAGGAACATTGGTAGTAAGAGGAATTTCTTCCTTAGGTGTGAATTTGTACATGATTGCAGAAATAGCAAAGAGTGATCTCCTAACAGATTCTGGGTCACCAGTTATCTGTGTTAAGTAAGAAACTGTCAGTTCATGCAAAAATTATAACAATTGACTCAAAACAACAAAAGTTAGGAGCAGAATGTAATTTTATAAGACTTGAATGACACACTAATACTACTTAATTGTCAATAAATAATTTTTTTTTGAAAAAAACTAACCAGAACAAAGTTATCAAACTCGAGTGCACAAGAATGTGTTGGATCACTAGCATCTCTGGCAACTACTTTAATATTGGCCCTCATCTTGCTTCTCAACTTCTTTATGGTGGTACCAGATTTACCAATGATATTAGCAGACTGGCTTGAAGGAGCAAGAAGCTGACACTCCTCTTTATCCTTCCGCTTCTTATCAGATTCTCCAATTGCAGCCAAAGCATTTGCAATTGCCGTATAAACCTTGAGAAGAGCATCCTGAGCCGTGCAAAGAGGTTGTTTCTCATTGAAATCCTGATCAACCTCAACATCTTCCTTTTCCTTTACATAGCAATAAACGAGTATAACTCTATCCTTAGCACCTGGAAATGGATCCACCACCTTGACCTTCGCCTTAGTCTCAGACCTAATTGAATTTATAACTTTTCCATTCTTTCCTATAACACTTCCAATCACATTATTTGGACACAGAATTCTGTAAACTATTAGCTCATCATCGTTTTTCTCGTCCCTATCTGTCCTCCTCTTCTGGTTCTTGTTATCCCCATCATCCCTACGCGATCTTTTTCCAGTCTCACCCATCGAATTACCCCTAAAAATTCACTATAAAAGTTAACAATACCTAATTATACACATTCTTGATAAGCGGAAAACACAAAAAAGAATGAAATTAAAACAAACTATTCAGGTATTACATATTCCAAAAACATGATTTCCAGAAACAATTTAAAGGAAAAATACTTCAATAGTGAAAAAAAAACTAAGAGCAAAAACAAATTTTCAGATACAAATTGCAAAACACAAATTGACTATTAACTATGCATCGATCCTAAACTAGTAGGAGAAGAATACACCCAATTAAATACAAACTGGATCCAGAAACACAAAGAAGTAAATTGTAACAATTCTGAAAAATTAAAGAAACAGAGAGACAAATACACATAGCACATACAAAATTTGTAGATGATAAAAAAGATTGAAAAGAGAAGAAACACCATAACCGACGGAGAAAACTAGAGCTGCTCACCTGTGATTGAGTCCTGCCTGTGATGATATTCCAAAATTAGGGTTTTTAGTTTTGTGATGACTTGTTTACACCGGTTTTGCTCCTTTGGTATTGTGGGCTCTCTCTTTTACCAGATAATGTACTAAAAGAGGTTATTTTATGGAAAAGTTATTTAATTGCATATGCATTTTTATGCAGAGAGGAAAGTCTGGAAAATACTATAAATTCACCATGAATTATTAATTTTATATTTAAATTATTGACGGTCTTTAAGTATATATATTTACTTATTTAATTTAGGAAAAAGGGTCAAATATGCTTCTAAACTATTTAAAAAGATCTAGATATACCCTCAGTTTAAAGTTTGGTTCACTGATGCCCTCGCCATCCAACTTTTGGTTCAAATATGCCCTTATGGACGTTAATTGTCATGTTGGACATATCCAACTCATTTTTCATTTCTTTAAATGCCACATGGAATTGTCATGTCATTTAGTTCTTACCACATAACATTTATATGAAAATGAAAAGATATTCGAACTTATAAACACCTAATCCGACCCATAAATCAATCCCCTTTTTAAATAAATTATCCGACCAATTTTCAACAATTTTATTTAATTTTTATTTTTTCGATAAATTTCAAAAATGAGTAATTGATTAATAATAAAATAGGAAAATATGAAAAAAGTATAAAATTAACGCCAAAAATTCATAAATAATTATAGTAACCTTAAATTCAATTTAAACACTTTTTTTAATTTTTTTTATTTTTTTATAAATCCCGAAATGAGTAATTGATTAATAAAACATATGAAAAAAATATAAAATTAACGCCAAAAATTAAAAAATAAATACAGTAACCTTAAATTCAAAAATTTTAATATTTTTTTTAATTTTTAATTTTTTTGACTATTCCCAAAAATAATTTTATTAACAAAAAATATGAAAAAATATAAAAATTACGCAAAAAATTCCGAAATAAATAGGAAAATATGAAAAAAATATCAAAAAAAAAATTGTTGAAATTATTGAATTAAAGTTTACTATATTTATTAGTGAATTTTGACGTATATTTTTTATTTTGTTTTCATATTTTTCCCTTTTTATTAAAAAATTACTCATTTTCGGGATTTGCCGAAAAATATAAAAAATTTAAAAAAATTGTAGATTGAAATGTTACTATATTTATTTGTGAACTTTTGGCGTTAATTTTTTTTTTCATACTTTTCTTAATTTTTACTAATCAATTACTCATTTTCGAGATTTATCCAAAAATAAAAAATTTAAAAAAATTGAAATGTTAAATTTAAGGTTACTATATTTATTTGTGAATTTTTGGCATTAATTTTATATTTTTTCAATTTTATTTTATTTTTTATTAATCAATTACTCATTTTCGGGATTTACCGCAATAATAAAAATTAAACAAAATTGTTACAAATGGGTCGGATAGTGAATTTAAAAGGAGTTGATTTATGGGTCGGATTAGGTGTTTATGAGTCCGAATATCTTTCCATTTTCATATAATATTATGTGGTAAGGTCAAAATGACATGGCAATTCCATGTGGCATTTAAAGAAATGAAAAATGAGTTGTATATGTCCAACATGGCAACTAACGCCCATAAGGGCATATTTGGACCAAAAGTTGGACGGTGAGGGCATGAATGAACCAAACTTTAAACGGAGGGTATATCTAGACCTTTTCGAATAGTTTAGGGGCATAATTGACCCTTCTCCCTTTAATTTAACTGAAATATATCCAATTTTTATCATATGAGTGAAATACACCTCTAAATTTTCGTCAAATTTAGCTGAATTTCCAAAAGTTCTCTCAACATTTTATAGTTCATGCTCCTACAAGAGTTTGAGATTACTTGTTATATCATGTGTCATATCGGAGTGTATCTAAATTTAGTTAGTCATGTAGAGAGGTACTTATTAAGGCTGCCAATAGTTTGAGGACGAAACTAATAATTTTCGTCAAGTTCAAAGGTGTTTTTAATAGATCTCTCTATTTACTAATTTCCTCTATCGGACTGAATGATTACAATTGTCTCACTAACACTCTGTTTGGATTACTGTTACCCGTTGTTTCATAATATACTGTATTGTAATTGTACTCTATTGTATTGTATTGTACTATATGATTTGTACAATGTTTGGCTAGATTTTATCGTTTTTTGTTGTTTAATCACATTTTTATTGTTTTGTTTGATTGTATTGTTCTGTATTATAATTTATAAATTTACGAAAATATGGAGGTTTGACTAAAATTAAATAATATAGGATAAAGGGTAAAAAAGTATTATGAAATATTAAGTAAGATATAATTGAAAAAAGAAATTAAGTAACAATGGTAACATACCAAATCGATAGTTCCATAAAATGAGAGTTTTCATTGTTACATAACAACGTAATTTAACAATACAATACATTTTAAGTAACAATCAAAACAAATATTCTAGGTATGATAACGATACAAGACAATATAATGGGTAACAATGACCCAAACAGAATGTAATTAATAATTTCATACCAGATTTCAAGTTAAATACAAATAAATACATGTATTTTGCTATCAGATACATTAAAATAGAAAGAGAGACGAGCGGGAAAAGGAACAAGGCGCACAAGCTAGGAGGAAAACGAGCTAGATAGCTTATGAACCATAGATACATATATCTAAATGTTAGATATATTTTGAAATATAGATACAAAATAGAGACGTGAGCGGGAGAGTCACACAATTCAACTTGGATATGATGTATTTGAAACACATGCACCTAATTTCAGTCTCGTATATCTAAGATAAATATCTGGATGCGTCAGATACATGTATCCGAAGTCCAAATTTTGATAAAATTCGTAGTATTGAAAATTCGTGTAAAATAAAGTAATTTGCTTGTGAATTAGTGAAATTTGTATTGTTTACCCATAGTTTATGAGGTGGAATTCCAGCTTGTGAAGCTAGGGAAAAATGTAGGAAAAACCACATGAATATAATGTTTAAGACCCAAATTTAAATACATAAAAAAAGTATTTATAAAATATATTTTTTAATTACAAAGGACAAAAAAATAGTTGGGACTAAGTGTGGCAGTGGACCGTGTAACATCTCAAAAAAATTTAAGTTAAAGATCTGAAACATTCTTTATTTACATGTAATGTCATATCAGGTGATTTTTAAATTTATTTATAGGTGTAAAGGTCAATTATTTTGTGTGGAATGATATTGGATAAATAGGTCCCAAGAACACCCTAGCACAAAATTGTGTTGAATTTTTTCTTACCGATTAAGTTTTGACATAAGATTTAACTTAGGTCAACTTCAAACGATATATGTCTCAGCACAAAGTAAATTAGGTGACACATGACCTATCAAATCGTAGTTTTATGATTCATATTTCCAACGCCAGCAAGCTTTCCTCATTTCGTGTTTGGAGAAAAAAGTTATGACCATTTTACCATAGACTACCACGTCATAATTTTTTAAGTCAATTCCTACGAATTACTTCTATGGCCGTAGAAGTTTTGAGGACTTATACTATTAAGTCGTAGGAGAAGTTCACAGAATCATTTTGGGGTTCAATTCTTACGAATCCATGTATGCAAAGCTACTCATCGTGATAGACTAAGTTCGTCCTCATACGCTATATTTAAAGTCATTCATTAAAAGGTTATGTTTAGAGTTTTGTAGTCTCTTTAAATTCAAATTCAGTTGTGTTTCTTATTCTGCATTTCAATGT